TCACATTCAGCGAGCGGAGCGACAAGACCCCCTGTTGGAAACAGATCTGCATTAACAAACCTCCGTAAAGAGCGAGTGATACAATTAGGGCTGCACGTGTTCACCTGATTGTCGTATAAAAGCCAGGCCAGGATCAAATGACACATTTGTGCTTTCCATGTGGCTCGGCATAAGCTAACACGGTATCCGAGTGGGCTGTTTTTGCTTTTAACACAAGAACGGTCAAAAACGGAAACGGAAATATCACTCTCTTAAGATTACACTCGGGTTTGCTGCGACCAATGTGCTTGTATCCAAACGCAACTCTCTTGCTTTGCAAATTACTTTCATAAAGTGATTTTATCAGCGGCAGTACTTGTTGTTTCAGCTCTGTGGTTTCCATGGAGACTAAGGAACAGCAGGAACAGGAGAACCTCTTGCCATGCTCGAGCCCTAACACTTGTTTCCAAGCCTGACTCTCTCTGGTAACAACATCCCTTGAGCAGACAGACACATAGACATACAGACAGACTGAATGCACCCTCCGGCCACCCCTGTTAATGTGCTTTGGGTGTTTTTTTGTCAAAGAATCTCAAATGCCTGCTAAAAGCCAGCTCTGAGCGTTGGCAACTTGGCACGACACTCCGAAACCCCAAGGGCTGGTTCGAAATATACCTTGCGTCGGCCCCGGTAGGTTTGCTCTTGTGCCGCGTGGGCTATGCTCCAAGAGACTTCTCTCTCTCTCTCCCCAATGTATTCTCTGATTTTACTTTATCAAACAATACTGGCCATTAATATTCAGTGCAGTGAGAAGCATAGAAGCGCATGCAAATCAAATCCTGTCAAGGGGATTATTGCATTGCTTAAAGCTACGGCTGACACATTCACTATGTACGTCTTCCGTGCCATTCCTCCTGGTCAGGAGTTATGCTTTTGCATCAGTTAAAACCAAAACGGCGGCTGTATTAACCTAAGGTCAAAGAGAGAGGCCTGTAGATTTATCACTGTTACTGCTGACAGAGTTGTTTGCTATAACAAATGTTTGCAATTACGATTACTTCGCAGTGAAGCGTGGAAGAGCGCTTCGACTCTAATTACAGATAAGAGACGGGAGATCAGGTCCACAAATGGTGACCAGGGTAATTGTCATGCATATCAGTGCAGTCTACCATGGCAACACAAGACACTTGGTACCTGCAATCTTATTTCCCTTAATGATTTGGGAATATTTTAAAACAATGGACCTCAGAGTCTCACTTGTTTTGCATACTGATATATCTGAGCTTAAAGGGAGAGTCCATCCACAAATGAAGTTTCTGTCATTATTCACTTACCCTTATGTCGTTCTAAACCTGTATGACTTACTTTCTTATGTGGAACACAAATTATGATATTTTCAGGGTCCAAACAACATTGTACCCCACTGGCTTTCATTTTATGGACCAAAGAAATTAATAAAATAAAATATCTTCACAGAAGAAAGAAAGCCATATAGGTTTAGAACAACATGAATATAGGAGTATATGAAAGTTTTTAATTAAAGGTTATTTTAAAAAATGTGAATGAACAGAATGGTAAAAATGGAGTGTGAATTTCATAATTTCTCTTCTTAGTAAATGTGTCTCTATAATTAAGTCATACAGTCATAAAGTTATAGCAGCCATTAAACAAATATATCTGACCACAGAATCTAGTATTCCAGAGAGCTGTTTTTATCAAATTAAAATAAAGTAAAATAGGATGCACTGAACTAAACACTTGTCATGTGCCTTTATTTATGGTAACATTTTTTGTATAATTTTTTTTCCACTTAATATTGGTTGGTCAATCTTTGGTCACTTTTCTGCAAGAAAAAAGTATGAAATATTTTATACTTGTACACAAGAAATTTAAATTCAGTGAGAAATTCTGTTTGCAACCTATTTTGCGAATATACTAAACGTACAGTGGGACTCAAAAATTGATTGTATTGTTAAAAGTGGGTGATATAAACCAGAATGGAGCCAGATGTTTGAAGTAAAGGGGTTTGGTGACATCACAGAAAAAGTCATTTCAGAGGTGATGCAAAAATACATTTAATATTTAAACCTTAAAGGTAGGGTATGTAATTTTTCAAAAACACTTTAGAAAACTGATTCGGGCCGAATAGCAAAACAAACGTGTAGCCAATCAGCAATAAGGGGCGTGTCTACTCGTGATGTGGAGGAGAGAGCTTTCAGTGCATGGGACGGACATTAGCCGAGCCGAGCGACAGAAAGATAGAGATGGCGGATAAAAAACAAAAGAGGAAAATGTCTGCGGTTGAAAACCATTTGAAATTTGTGTCAGCACGTCATAAATAGAACCCGGCAGCAGTTTTCTGTCGGGGATTTGTACAGGACTGGAGGGTATGAATCATAATTAAGATGGTCTAATCTGTCTCATGAAGTCAAGTATAGCAAGCCAAAGAGCATTCCTTCTTTCAACACTCAACTATCAGATTCCTCTGACAGAAAGAGGAAACGGTGATAGAGAGAGAGAGAGAGAGAGAGAGAGAGAATAATTAAGATGGTCTAATCTGTCTCATGAAGTCAAGTATAGCAAGCCAAAGAGCATTCCTTCTTTCAACACTCAACTATCAGATTCCTCTGACAGAAAGAGGAAACGGTGATAGAGAGAGAGAGAGAGAGAGAGAGAGAGACAGAGAGAGAGAGAGAGAGAGAGAGAGAGAGCACACGCTTCTTGCTTCTCCCAAGATCAACAAAACCTCTTTTGTTCACAGGGGATGATGCTCAAATACAGTGCTTAAATATTTAATCACATATACACCAATTTAAGAAACCTGATTATGCAAATGCCTCCTCAGTGAGAGACATTATTTTCTGATATCAAATGATGTAAAATCTGCTTTGAAACATTATTTTGGGTATATGGAATGCCGTGAATGTTTGAATATATCTGTGTGGGCATAAAAACTTCTAAAAGTGGTAGTAGTGGGTGAACATTCCTGGATGAAAAACTAAACCAGTTTTCGATTAGTATTCTGTATTGAGCAAATGATGAGATGAGAAGTCATGTACTACACCTCCACACTGTGAAAAGAACATGGATGCACTTGTTTGAAAGAGAGAAAACAATAAATAAATAAATACCACAGGGGGAAATAAACAATTTATTAAATGTATTATTTCTTTTTTTGTGACAAATTAAATTAAATAATTAAATAAAATGTTAAAACAAAACAAAATAAAATATAATAAAAAAAAATAATAATAATAAATAAATAAATAAAACAAAACAAAATGTCCATAAGTTGTTTTGGGGAAAAAAAGGAGTCACAATGATTTTTTTGTGTTAACTGTCATTAAACCACAAATGCTGTCAAACTATAAATTATGTGATTTCTGTGCCACTAATGCCACTCAATAAAACTGATTTTGTTTTCAAACTGGTTTCCATGAGCACACACAGTCTTCCCTAATCCAACAGATCGTCTCGCCCCAAACTCATGTCGGGATACTTAAACAAACAGCACAATGTTTTGATATAGCCACAGAGCCACAGTGTTTACTCTTTTCGGTCAAATCACCCCATAAATGGCTTACTTACAGTCTCTGCACACTAAAATGGGGCATAAAAAAAGTATTTGAATGTTAAAAAAAAAAGCTTGCACTGATTCTTTTAGTCACTCTGTTAGTGCAATGGAGCTGCAAGCTTAACGAAGCTGCTAAATTTCTGGCAAAAGACTGAGCCCCCAGGTCTTCTCCACGGGGGGCTTCGGGAGACAGGCAGACAGCTGCACAGCGACCATCAACAGCAATTTCAAGCCTTCGCTCCCCACAGACATGCCTGATTCCAAGTCGCACTTCTCTGGAATGTGGCACTGCGTTAGTACTTCATCGAACGAGGCGCTCCTCGGAGAGGCTTTCCATCGCGCTCGTATCAATGAGCTTTTGAAGGAGCCCGATCCCTCACGAACACCCACACGTCGGTGGTTGAGCATGTAAGCCGCAATGTCATGCTACGAGGGTGATCAGCATGCATTCAGAGCGGGTAGGTGTGAGTATGACGCGAAAAAATTCTGGATAAAATATGCTCAGCATGAAAATAATTGAGGAGAACTCAATCAAGTGTGTCAGAAAGCCAACAATTGAACAAATGATGACAAAACTATACATCTGGTCATACTGTAAGCCGTCAGGTATTATAATATCAAATCTGATCTTTAAATGAACTATCAATTGTCTTTATTGCAATAAGGATACAGTCAGTCTGTTTAGAGAAGTTAACGTCAGCCTAAGGTGTCGTGCTGTATTAGCGGTGGCACAAACTTAACCCACATAAACAAAATAATGGTGCTGACAAGATCTCTTACATAAATCCAGAGCACAGTTCTATTTCAAAGCTCAGTTCCCCTGGCAAACAAACAGCAAAGCGAAACAGAATAAATCACAAGCCGCTTTCAACTACATATCTGGTTTGAAGGCAGGTCCATTCTGACACATTCTTTCAGATGTTTACCACTGTGCTGCACAGGAAAAGAAGCATGCAGACGAATCGATGCCGTAAACCGTACTCACCTAAGAGCATAGCTGTGTTTAGGCGCAGCTGGTGAGGGTTTCTGTGCCGGTCAAGCTCAGTGATGAAGCACTTGTGCAAGAGCAGTCCGTGCAGTATTATAATATCAAATCTGATCTTTAAATGAACTATCAATTGTCTTTATTGCAATAAGGATACAGTCAGTCTGTTTAGAGAAGTTAACGTCAGCCTAATGTGTCACGCTGTATTAGCGATGGCACAAACTTAACCCACATAAACAAAACAATGGTGCTGACAGGATCCCTTACATAAATCCAGAGCACAGTTGTATTTCAAAGCTCAGTTCCAAACAGCGAAGCGAAACAGAATAAATCACAAGCCGCTTTCAACTACATATCTGGTTTGAAGGCAGGTCCATTCTGACACATTCTTTCAGATGTTTACCACTGTGCTGCACAGGAAAAGAAGCATGCAGACGAATCGATGCCGTAAACCGTACTCACCTAAGAGCATGGCTGTGTTTAGGCGCAGCTGGTGAGGGTTTCTGTGCCGGTCAAGCTCAGTGATGAAGCACTCGTGCAAGAGCAGTCCGTGCAGTACAGCGCTGACAGAGAGAGAATACACTCTGAACGCGTGCTGCTCTTAGCTGAGATGAAGCGGAGAGAGAGAGAGAGAGAGCGAGAGAGAGAAGAGAGAGAGAGAAGAGAGAGAGTCTACCCAGAGATGTAGTCGGCAGATGCGGCTCCCACAGTCCCTCTGAGCGTGAAGAAAAAGGGAAAATCTGGGTCGCTGCGCTGTGGATGTGGCACGAGAAGCTGTGTAAAATCAGCAGAGCAGCTGATCAGACGGGGTTTTGGCCAATCTGCTTTGGAAATCGCGCACCTGGCTGTGATTCAGCTCGTAGGAATCTGGATGTCGTAAATCAGGGGCAACCCCAGGCTCACTTTGTGAACGCTGGAACACAGACTCAGAAAGAGTCAGTGTTGGAGAGTGAGTGCAATAAAGGCTCCAGTTAAGATTTGGATCAAATATTAAGCAAAATGTCCCTTATGAAAGTAAGGTGTGGGGTGCACTAATAAATCGAGAAATATCTAATGTGCATGGCTAAAGAAATCCTGTTTACCATCATGTACCATTGTATATATCATTAAAAATCTAATTTTCATCATATTAACATGAACATGAGTAGAATTCTATAATAAGTTTTCACTGTCACTTTTGATCAACTTAATTTCACATAGCTGACTTCTATTCATTTCTTTAAAAAAAAAAAAAAAAAACACCGTCTCTAAACATTTAATCAGTAATATATACATTTACGCTACTTACCAAAAAAAAAATCTGCTAAAATGCTAAATATATAAATTCTGTGGTTTATTGAAATCTCAGATCAGTACAGTACAGTAAATATGTGCTATCCGATCCTTTAAAGACATATTGTGGCCAGTGTTGCCAGATTGGATGGATGATTTCCAACTATAATGTATTCTGGTATAGAGCTGCAATGCAGATCTAGTGCTCTTGATGTTTGGCGCGTTTACACGCAGTGTTGCCAGATTGGATGGACGATTTCCAGCCCAAAAGCTCACAAAAACCGCCCAAAACTTTAACTGTCAAAATAATGTTATAGAATATGTAAATCATGGTTGATAAGGGCAATTTTAACTCCTTAAAACAAAATATTGACGACAAAATTATATAAATTATAAATAAGGTACATTTCGCAGGTAAACGGATCAAATCGGGGCGAATAGCCTACGTTAAAGAGAATTAGGCTACCGAACATGAATAAAATATGCAAGCAGACACTGTCAAAACGGCAATCATGAAATTAACCGATACCCTCGAAACAACACATGCATGGTTTTCAATGTCAGCAGTCAGAATAATCCAGTTTAAATGCAAAAAGTGCCCAATATAAGTGATAGGAAAAAGCAACGTAATTAGCAGGTATTTCACACTCGTTCATGTGCATACCATGACAGTCAACTCAAAACTGTGTCATTCACTGATACTTAATTATAATCCGACAATTAAAAAAATAACAACAACAAGTCTTTCGTGAAGTTCATATAGAACATAATACAGAACTTTGCACAGTCAAAACTAATCAAGTCTAGCAGTTTTCAAGGATTTATCAATCTGGACATTTAAAAGAAAAAAGACATGATTGTATAAACCGACATATTTAGTTTCGGTTATGATTAATTCAAACGTGCTCTGATTTCGGAGTTGCAGTGATAGAGCCTTTGTCATTGCGCTTGCGGAGGAATGTAGACACTGACGAGAATGAATGAGCAAAACTAATAGAGCGAATAGAACGGCTTGCAGTTAATGAAGAGCACTTCTAGATCTGAACTTCTAGAGCACAGTTTCTTTAACACAGTTACATCTGTACACCACCTCTCATTGATGTAAAAGCATGTCCCACCGCCGCGTGATTTCCCAGTTGATTCTGCGTCGCGATCCGCTCTGAACAGCTGAAAGCCCGGGAGACTCAT